TCCATGTGTGGGTGTGTTTGGATGAGGAGCTGGCCAGTCTTTCTAGTACACATGTGTGTAAGATTGTCTCCTTGCACGAACTTGGAGATGTTTCATGTTTTATCTTCAGGGGAATATATGTATTTACTTTTCTATGCCCAGAGGGAAAACCTGTATGTGTGTGCATGCACCATTACATGTATATCTCACACCCTTTGTGTGCAAGGCATGCATTTCTGTCCTTCAGAACTCTGCACACGTAGTAACTATTTTGATGTTGTTTATCTTGGCTTCCGCATGTGTGTCTCTCGACTGCTCTTGGTCAGTGGTGTATGGCTCAGAGCCTTTGCTTGTCTCTCGAGCATTGTTTGTGCTCCCTTCCTTTCCTTACCCCAAGACTTCAGGGCAGATCATCTCAGGCTCAACATGGAGGTACCCAGAGATGAGGTCACTGCCCTTCCAGTGATGGGAAATTGCCACCAAGCCTCCTCCACAGAACAAAACAAAAACTCCCTCTCTACCGCTCCTCAGGTTCCTACAAAGGGAATCCCTTTCCACCCACCCCACCAACCACACCCCTGGGCCCCCCAGCACCTCTGTCCTCCAAGAAGGCCTCTCCCTGGGAATCTGTAAGGACTCTGTTGCTAGCCACCACCAGAAAAACCAGCTCCAGCTCCAGGCCTGGGGTAAGGGATGTCTGGTATGGGGTGGGGGGTGGGGGAGTAGAGGGAGAAGCAGTCTGCCTGGGCCCAAGGGGAGGGGTCTAAATATGTAGGGTCTCATTTTCCTTTGTTAACTCTTACCTCCCCTTGCCCACAGCACCATCTCTACTAGAGAGGGCTAGAATAGGCAGGTAGTTTGGTATAGGAAAAGACCTGTGAGAGAAGGTTGTTTCACTAGGACAAGTGTCATTAACAACCCAGCCAAGCCCTTTTGGTCCCCCTTGTCCCCACAACCTTGACCTTTGGCTTTGAAAACTAGAAAACTTTCCATCTGCCTTCATCCGTCTCCCTCACTTACCCCCCGCACTATCCTAAGCCCCCTAGCTTAGTGAGAGCTTCCCAAGCCAGGCAAAGCGCCCACCCGCAGATTAGTGTCTGAGGAGGGGGGCCACACCAATCAGAGAGAGAGAGAGAGATTGAGAGAGAGAGAGGAGAACAATGGGGGAGGACAGGCCTTGAGGCATCCAGCTCTGGCCCAGACACAGCTCCCAGCACAGATAAGCCCCCTAAACCCCCCCTGGAGCCAGTCTGAGCCCCGGTGACTCACCATAACAGCTATACTGTGGGTGAGAGACCCAGAATTCAGCTTCTCTCAAACTCCTGATATCCTCTCACCTCTTATTTTGTCTCCCCAGTCCCCACTCTGACCATCTCTTCCCCACCTCAAATCACAGCCTCAACTCTGGTTCTCAGGACCTGAGTTTTAAGTGGAAGTTGGGGGCAGCCAAAAAACTATGGGAAAAGCTCTTGGGGTTACAGGCCCCTTGTTGGCTCTGTTTCAGGGAAAAGTGATCCCATTGCTCTCCCCACCCCTGCCTAGCTTTTCTCTAAGAGGCAGGGAGCTGAGTCCTTTCTGGCATTTCAACTCCCCTCTCCCCTTGCTCCTTTTTCTTGCGCTTAGACTGAAGCTTGAACTCAGGATCTAGGTGCTGTCCCTTGGCTTTTTTTGCTCAAGGCTAGTGCTCTACCACTTGAGCCACACATTCATTTCACTTTTTTGGTGGGTAATTGGAGGTAAGAGTCTCATAGACGTTCCTGTTTAGACTGGCTTTGAATCACAATCCTTGAATCTCAGCCTCCTGAGTAACTAGGATGACAGGGGAAAGTCACAGGCATTCAGTGTCTCTGCTGCCCTCTTGACTCAATTTCCACTTCATTTCTATCCCTTCTCTCTGCCTAGACTTTGTGGTCAATTCAATGACATATTTTAGAGACCAAAAGATTCTGAGGTTGTGGCCCAGAAGATAGGACTCTGCTTGCCAGGTTCTTCAACTACTATCTCTGAGGATTCTTTCAGCTCCCTGAAACACTAGTATGAAACCAGGGTCACTGGGGCCAAGGGCTTCCCTGGGGTTCTAGTTCTCACCACTTGGGCAGGGTAACAAACTTCTCTTTCTCGCTTCTCTGGATTTGGGTTGGTCTCACAGGAAAGGGCCTCTGTAATCAGAAGTAGAAAGGCAAGGATGGGGCCCCTCCCTTTTTAGGAAACCAACCTCAGAAAGAAAACTGTTGGTAACTCTCAGAAGACAGAGATCACAATTCAATGAACAGATCACCTGAGGTTCTACAGGGTCCTTTGGCCACACAAAGAGCAAGAGACTAGGATCCTATTGGAGAGTATTTTGCAGATTTGGGTGCCTGAGCCCCAAGGCAGAAGATGGGGGAGGGAGAAAGGATGGACCTCACCCGGAAACTCAGTCCAATAAGGAGAGACAAAGAGCTGCGGTGTTAGAGGCACCTCCCAAGCCTGGGCTTCTCCCCTCTTCGGGATGGGGATGGGGGGAGGGGATGGGTGTGAATTTGCAGAAGGGCCTGGAAGGCAGTATCCTGGAGAAGAGTCTTTTCAGCTGTCCTGAAACTCAGTCCCATAGGTTGGCCAATCAAAAAGTTATAGTATTTCAGAACCAGAAAATCTAAAGAGACTACCTAGTAGTAGTTCTTGGTCTACTGAAGTTGGCATTTTTAGTTGCTCAAAGAATAACAGGTCTGGGCACAGGTGGCTCACACCTGTAATCCTAGCTACTCAGGAGGCTAAGATCTGAGGATCACAGTTCAAAGCCAGTCAGGGCAGGAAAGTCTGTGAGACTCTTATCTCCAATAAACCACTCAGAAAACCAGGAGTACCCCAGTGGCTAAGTGGTAGAGCACTAGCCTTGAGCTGAAGAGCTGAGGGACTGCGTTCAGGCGCAGAGTTCAAGCCCCATGACCAACCAAAAAAAAATAATAATAATTAACAGGAATGGGTTCAGAACCAAGTCTATGTTCAGCTACATGAAATATTCCAGGCTCCAAGGGCCACTAAGGAGATGCCTTATACGCAGAGGAGACAGAATGGGGATGGGACCATCTGATGCTTGGGCTGGGGACCTGGGGTTTTAGTCCCAATGGATCTCTGAGAGCAGCCTTAGCTCTATGCAGGCTGTAGCAACAGCAGCAGCAGCAAAGTAATAGCTTCCTGAGTAATCCTGGACCCAGGCTTTTTTTTTTTTGGGGGGGGGTCCGGTTGTGGGGCCTGAACTCTGGTCCTGGGCTCTGTCCCTCAGCTCAAGGATAGCTTCTACCACTTGAACCACAGCATCACTTCTGGCTTTTCTCTTTTTGCTTTTGTGGCGCTAAGGAATCGAACCCGGAGCTTCATGCATGCAAGGCAAGTGCTCTACCACTGAGCCACCTTCCCAGCCCCTGTACCCCCTGGGTTCTCCCAAAGCTCTTCTCTGTCAGACACTGAGTGAGGTCAGTGATAAATTTCCTAAGTAGAAGAGGGACTCATTTCCCCTTTGTTGTACTTCTCCTGGAAAGAAGTCTCCCATTATGGAAGAGAGAAGATCAGGTCTCACTCCCTACTTCACAGCCAGCATCTAGTACATTACTGTATCCAGTTGTACATTCAATTATTCTATTATTCAATAAATGAGGAGTCACGAGACTTAGGACAACTAACACTGGTTATGCTTCTAACACGGAGCAATCTTACAGATCTCAGCTGCCTATCTATTTCTCTCAGTTTTCCCATCTGTAAAATAAAGGAGTTGGAGTGGTGATCTCTTTGATCCCTTCCAAGTCCTGAGACAGCATGACTCCATTCTACAGGTGTGGGTAGATCCTATAGGAAATTGCCTGCTGGGTTCTCTGGCCTAAGAGACAGGCCCCACCCTCTTAGCCTAGGCAAGTAAGAAGGGCTGTCTGGAAGATGGGAGTTAGGGTGGTAAAATGGCAAAGGTGGGTGTTCCATATTTGAGACTGGAAACTAGGCTGATGATCATTCCATTATAAGACCAAAATGAGAGGAGCCCCCAGTCCTGCCAGTCTAGGCTTTTTGCTTCTCTTGAGAACACAGCCAGGTGCTGCCAGACAACTGGCTTGCTACTGACCTGGGACTGAGAAGCTGACTTTTCTGCCCAGATAGGCCCTCCATCTTCCCAAGGAGAAAGATACCTTTCTGTTCATTGCCTGAAAACAGCCTACAACATCCCATCATGGTCTCATCATATACATATATGCATTATCTTCCTCACTCTGAAGATTACAAATCCCTATAATTTATATCTACTCTATATACATTAGATGGACAGGAAGAAAAGTGTACTCTAGGGGAAAAAAAAGGGGGTTAGAAGAGAAACAAAGAAAGATCATGCCCTATTTAGAAGAAACCCTTCCCTAAACCCCCAGCCATTTAAATAACCCTATTGCTACTCGGACATCTACTTGTGTCTGTGCCCAGGGAAAGACAGAGACCAGAGAAACAGGAATTCTTGGCTTTCCTGTAATCTCCCAACTGGAATTCCAGTCCTGATGCCCTAGAATATCTTGAAAAAAAGAGAAAGAGAAAGATATGCCCAACCACTCCCAGGACTCAGACTTTCTGCACCTGATGGCTGCTGAGGCAGCTCAACCCTGAGTCAGCCCCAGCTCTCAGGAGCAGTTCTGAAGCCCAGAGAGGGAAGCCAAGGAGCCTCCAGTAGCCCTGGGGGAGAGCAAGATCCTTCAGTTCCATCTCTCTGCTCACTGAGTTACCATATCTATTCCCCTGTAGTTAACCTGGGCCCAGGCAAGGCTCTGGCAAAGACAGGGACCCCAACATGCATAACCAGCCTGGAGGCTGAGATAGAAGCTGACAGGGAAGAGCTACACTGAATCTTCTGGTAGATAGAGCCGGAGAAAGACACTGTCTTCTCTAACCAGAGCTCAAGAAAGTAGAATGTTTTTGTGTATGTGTGCGTGTGTGCATGCATGGTTGTCTGGCGTCTGCGCTGGGTTGGGCTCAGAAGCAAGGGTCCTGATAGTTCAGGCAAATCCTACCTGTAAAGGATGTCAGGAACAGCAGCAGCAGCCAAGCTTCAGGCCCCCACATCTCGGCTCCCAGGGACAGGGGCATTGGTTGAAAGGCAGACCTGCCAGTGGTTCTGAAGTTCCACCAGTTCTCCCTGGGAGCCGCCTCTAGAGCTGGATCAGGCACTGACCCAGAAGGCAAAAAGCCTTGGAGCCCTGGGCACTGACACCTGCTATCTTGCTTGGGCCTCCACTAGGGGACCTGGCCCTGCTGTACCCACCCAGCAGTGGCTACCCCCAAGAAGCCGTGATCGGGAGCGCTGAGCTCCCCCAGAGCTGCTTCCCACGCCGTGGCCAACAACGAAGGCAGAAACCTGGGAACCTGCTCAGCAGGTCAGAACAGGTGCGTCTCCGGGGGCTGGGCCTGGCACAGAGAGGAGTCTCCACAGCCACCGCCCCCACGGCCCGGGCTAGCTAATGGGCGCCAGGGAGGGAGGGAAGAAGGGAAGGACCTGGGTGGGGGCATGAGATTCCATCCTCAGCTCTGAGCTTTACCTATGCTTTGCCTGTGTGTGTGTGTGTGTGTGTGTGTGTATGTGTGTGTGTGTGTGTGTGTGTGTGTGTGTGTGTGTGTAAGGGACTGTGAAGGGAGAGGCAAGGGAGGGGTGGTGGGAGGAGGACCAGAGTACCTTAAAGAGGGAGGCACCAGACCTGGCCAGGATCAACAGGGGCAAGACTCTTATAGGTGGAAAGGAACCCATGCATCTGATACCCCAATCAGGCTTGATGCCTCCTGAGAGATTTGACAAATTCTCTGACTTCCTAAAGGGGCCCAGTTTTTGAATCCCAGAATCAGAAAAGGCCAGGACTGAAGATGATTTTGCCCTGATAGCCCATATACTTCTTTCTTCAGATGAAAAAACAAGCCCAAAGAGCAGAAGGAACTTAGAAAACATATAACACAGTATCATGGTTTGCTCAGCTACTTCTATCCCTGAGGCAGGGTTCTAGTTCACAGACCCCTGAGAAAGACCTTAAAGCAATTCCTTTTGGCCTTATCCATGTATAGGTTAGACAAAGAACTCTCCAAAGAATAAGGCTATAGATTCCTGGCTTCCCTCTCATAGCTCTGTCTCTTCCACACCTTATTATCTGGCTAGGAGTCCCAAAAGAGTATTGGCACAACCAGAGTAGAAGGGTTTTGTTTTTTTGTTTTTTTTTTCCTCTCCCCTCATTTTATTCTAGGGTGCTGGAGCAGACTTTGTAAGGACAATCTTGATTTCAAACACTGTGTCCCTGAATTCCTGTAAGTATATAAGTATATTTCTATTTGTCAGACCGTGTGTTTCCTTTTTTTTTTTTTTTGTCAGTCGTGGGCTTGAACTCTGGACTTGGGCGCTGTCCTTGTGCTCTTCAGCTCAAGGCGAGCGCTCTACTGCTTGAACCATAGCACCACTTCCGGTTTTCTACTGGTTTATTGGAGATAAGAGTCTCACAAGCTTTCCTGCCCAGGCTGGCTTTGAACCACGATCCTCAGATCTCAGCCTCCTAAGTAGCTAGGATTACAGGCATGAGCCACCAGCGCCCGGCTTATGTTTCCATTTTGGATAACACAAAATCTTATTGGCCTGGGGCTGGGAAGGTGGCTCAGTGGGTAGAGTGCTTGCCTTGCATGCCAGAGGCCCTGGGTTCGATTCCTCAGCACCACATAAGCAAAACGAAAAAAGCCGGAAGTGGCGCTGTGGCTCAAATGGTAGAGCGCTAGCCTTGAGCTGAAGAGCTGAGGGACAGCGCCCAGGCCAAGAGTTCAGGCTCCACAACCGGACCCAAAAAAAAAAAAAATCTTATTGGCCTACCTAGGATAGCCAGAGGAAAAGGGTATGTTCTAAACTTCCCAAAAACTTCGTGAAGGGGAAGAGCAAGATCTTTGGTACAGTGAGACTTAAACAACACACAAACACACACACACACACAAAGACAAAAAACAGGTAAATGCTGGGTGTGGTAGCTCAAGCCTGTAATCCTTGCTACTTAGAAGGTAGAGATCAGGGGATTGCAGATCAAGGCCAGCTCAAGGAACAAAGTTTCTCAAACAATGACTAGGTATTGTCCCTGCTAAAAGGGAAGCACAATGGTTGGGCACAGTTATGCACATCTGTCATCCCTAGTGACATGGAGAAACACAAGTAGGAGGATCATAGCCTGGGCATAAAGTTAGACCCTATCTTGAAAATAACCAACATGGAAGGGGAGGCAGCCTTGACCAAGCAAGAATGTGAGACTTTGAGTTCAATTCCCAGTACCTCTCAAATAAAAAAAAAAGGGAAGTGGAGGGAGATAGAATGGAAGTTGGGGGAGAGAGAGAGAAAGGAAGGGGGAGAGAGGGAGAGAAATAAACAGGTAAGTCTAAAGACAGATATGGGGAAAGAAAAAAATCAGTGAGGAAACAAAACCAAGGCCTTGTGCATGCAAGCTCTCTGACACTGAGCCATATCCCCAGCCCCTTACCTGTCAAATCTTTTTCATCTTTCAAAAGTAACCTCAAATGCCACATCTCCCATGAAGTCTTCTCAGCTCCTCCCACTCAAAATTAATCTTTCTCTTTTCTACTCTTCCTCAACCCTTACTAGTCCCTTTATTATAGCTTATGTACTCATAATTTGTGCACATCTTATCTGCTTAATTAAGTTGTAAGCTTTAATTCATGAAACATTGATTGAGGCCTGCTATGTTCCAGGGAATCAGTAAATGTGTTAAATTGAGGGACAGGAGAAGAATACCTTGAAAGCGAGGTTTGTTTTACAATCTTGTCTCAATCCTTCATGCTAGGACAGTTCAAAGCACCTAATGGGAACTGAATGCATTTTTGTTGAAAGCATGAATTTCTGAATAAATGAGTGTCATTATGGAGAAAGTGGTAAGGTAGGGTCAGAAGATGGAAATCCCAACTGATTGTGTTTCTGTCCTGAACCTAGGTTATGACGTAGACTTTAGCTCTGCCTCTAGACTATGACCCATTTCTGGCAATGAATTCCAACTCTCAGCAGTGACCATGGTAATGACTTCTTGAAGGGCTATTTCCTACAAGCCAGGGACATATTCAAGGACCAAGCTAGATGCCAAAACCTCCAAGTTTCTCTCCACCCCCACCTTGGCAAACCCCTTCCCCTCTTTGATTCAGATCCCCAACCTGTGCCAGAGGAACAGCCCCACCCCGATGCTGCTTTGAGATCCAGTGGGGCAGGGGTGGGGTAGGGTGGGGGGGGAGAGAAAGGAGAGCATCCTGTGTTATAATTATAATTATCACACCTTGGATCCTATCACATGCTTTCAGAGGAGCTGCTTTCCTTCCCACGGATTCACCCCTCCAGGTACAGGAAACCACAGGAGAAACTCAGGCATGGGGGTGAGAAAGCTACGGGATCACAAGCTGAGTTTCCAGCTGCTTTGGCCTTTCCATTCACAATAAACTCCTTCAAAATGCTATCAAATCTAGGAATATGAAACACTAAAGGCAGGTAGAACTCACCAGAGGTGGTGTGAAGGTAATAGTCATACCCATAAGTATATTCAAGTCCTGGTAAACATCACAGGCAGCCTGAAATGGGGACTAAGGCCACCATTGATAGTCACACAAGAGTCAGGCAGCTACTTGGGCCTTTGATTGAACTAGAGATTTCTCTTCATCAAACAAATTCTTTTTTATTTTTTTCTCCTGTCAGTTGTGGGGCTTGAACTCAGGGCCTGGGTACTGTCCCTGAGCATTTTCGTGTTCAAGGCTAGTACTCTACCACTTAAGCCACAGTGCCACTTCCAGTTTTTGAGTGGTTTATAAAAGAAAAGAGTCTCACAGGGACTTTTCTGCTTGGGCTGGCTTCGAACCACGATACTCAAATATCAGTCTCCTGAGTAGCTAGGAGCTAGAATTACAGGGGTGAGCCAGGAGCACCTGGCAAACAATTTTTTTTTTCTGTTGCCAGTTCTGGGGCTTGAACTCAGAGCCCTGATACTGTTCCTGACCTTTTGTGCTTAAGGGTAACATTCTACCACTTGAACCACAGCTCCACTTCTGCCTTCTGAGTGGTTAATTGAAGATCAGAGTCTCACAGACTTTTCTGCCTGGGCTGGCTTTGAACTGTTATCCTCAGATCTCAGCCTCCTGAGTAGCTAGGATTACAGGTCTGAGCCACTAGAACATAACATTTAACAAATTTCTATCCTTTAATCCCTCTGTCTCCTCATTTCCTCAATCCTGTATGACTTACAGGATACTCCTGGGGACCAGGCCTTTTCTACCCTGTTCTGGGATGAAGCTTAGGGAAGGTAAATTCCAGATCCGGGGTCTGGAAGAAAAATGGTTGAAGAACTTTTCCAGAGTAGTGTCTGGTATCATGGGCTCAGTTCTTTCTTCTATACTGAATTCCAATTCTCTTCATGCCTCACTACCTACCCTCCTCCCACCCACATTCTAGGCCCTGAGAATGGCAATAATTCAAGCCTCGGTGACATCTTTAGCATATATATGTTTCTGTCTGGCATCACTGTATGCATGCCTACATGTGTATCTACATTCAGTAGATATTTAGTGAGTACCACATTGTGTCAGACTCAAGGGAAGTGAAGAGATATAGGACACATGTCCCTGCCCTCAAGTAGCTCCAAAAGTCAGACCCATAAAGAATTGTAACAAACTATATCCCACCCTCCTGTATTTCCTATGTGTCTCTCCATGTACACATTGTGGATAGAAATCCACAATGGGGATGCCTATGTGAATGTAACTGCAAATGCTCATTATTTGAATGTGTCCAAGCATCCGCTTAAACCCATCTCTGTCCCTGTGGTAGATGCACACCTAAGTCAAACCGGTTGGAGTAGGTTGTGCAGGAATTTTTGTTTGTGTCAATGGGACTTGAGGTGAGTCAGGGAGGGCAAGAATGGGTGGAGTGGTGTGGGGGAGAAGAGTGAGAGTGAGGGTCAGATTGAGTGAGCAAGGGAGGGAGGGAGAGGATCAAGGTGGGAAGGGCTTGGGGGTGGGGCGTCAAAAGAAGGATGGGTTAGGGGCAAAAGTAAATGAGAGCACTCCTTAGTGAATAATGTCTTGTTTGCAGTAAGGTCCCAGGTTAGAGAATAGTCACCTACTGGCCAAGAGACCCTTGAACTTTGAGAGAGAAGGATGAATAATAAATCAGAATGCAACTAGATAGGAGTATGGGTGTGAATGAAATGTTTGTAATACATTTCTGTTCTTCCAGTCTCTCGGTGTGATAAGCTGTTCCTGACCTGCTCATTGCTTTGGTTCCTATAGAAAGGTGTTGGGGAGATAACTGACAAGGTGAGAGATTACTGATATGGGAACTTGATTCCATCCTCAGGACTGATGCCATAGCAGATAGATTCAGATTCACTCTTATTACTTCTCCCTAGGATGTTCCCACCCATGGAAATGTCAGGCAAGGCCTCATACAGAAAACAGAGACTCCAGCAGATTTTCCCCCTCTGAATAACATTTCTTTTGCTCCCCTCCACTGGAGTTTCACTGTGTCAAGTATTGGAATGGTGGCATCTTGTTCAGGATATTCCATGTGCAGTGTTGTTCTGTTCTGCCAATCCTGCAAGCCCATTGGTTCCCCAATACCCAGCCCCATCCTTTAATGACAACCACATTTCCTGGTTGCCTAAAACATCCCTTCCAGCTCAAGGGGCTGGGTTTGCTCATTCCTTGAGGGTTCTAAAGCTGGAGTGAGCCATCCAGAAGAAGGGGCTGCACACAAAGCATGTTTGGGTTGTTTCTCAATAGGCCCAGTTGTGTCCCTCTTCCTTGTTCTCACCAAGTTTCTGTAAACACACCATCACAAAATCAGGGACCAAAACAAGAGTTAAGAAACAAAAGCCTGGGGCTGGGAAGGTGGCTCAGTGTAAGAATGCTTGCCTTGCATGCATGAGGCCCTGGGTTCGATTCCTCAGCACCACATAAGCAGAAAAAGCTGGAAGTGGCACTGTGTCTCAAGTGATAGAGTGCTAACCTTGAGCTGAAGAGCTCAGGGATGGTGCACAGACCCAGAGTTCAGGCCCTACGACCGACCAAAAAAAAAAAAAAGAAAGAAACAAAAGCCTTTGTTGTATTTCCCTGTGTCTCTGAGAGGCTGGCACTTTTAGAAGGCTCTTGGTAGCCGGGTGCTGGTGGCTCACACCTATAATCCTAGATACTCAGGAGGCTGAGATCTGAGGATCACAGTTCAGAGCCAGCCCGGGCAGGAAAGTCCATGAGACTCTTATCTCCAATTAACCACCAGAAAACCGGCTGGGGTGCTGTGGCTGAAGTGGTAGAGGGCTAACCTTGAGCTAAAGAGCTGAGGGACAGCCTTCAGGCACAGAATTCAAACCACACGATTTGACAAGAAGAAAGAAAGAAAGAAAGAAAGAAAGAAAGAAAGAAAGAAAGAAAGAAAGAAAGAAAGAAAGAAAGAAAGAAAGAAAGAAAGAAAGAAAGAAAGAAAGAGAAAGAGAGAAAGAAAGGAAGGAAGGAAGGAAGGAAGGAAGGAAAAGAAAAAAGAAAAAAAGAAGACTTGGTATAATAGGTCCTGGCTGGTACCAGATTAGAGTAAAAGCCCTCGTGGAAATCTGAACCCTTCAAGTGACAACACTTGCAGCAGAAGATGCAGCACTGAGAAGAGGGCAGGAGCAAGGTAAGGGGGATCCTGGGAATTTGGCAAGATCACGGATTGTGGCAAGGACCTCAGGCTGTATTCACCTCCATTCTCCCTGTCCCCACACCAAACTCTGGAAGGAGAACCACAGGCTCCTCCCAGGGATTCTGTTAGGCAATGAAGTGGCAGCCCCCAGAGGTCAGTCTGGCCTGTCTTCCTGCTTCACTTTGAAGATTTCCCAAGCTTTTCTTTTAGTTCCAAAAGTGATATAAAAGAAGAAGGGAAGCCAGGTGCCAATGGTTCACACCTTTAATTCTAGCTACTCAAACATTTGTGACCTGAGGACAGGACAGAAAAAAAATACCTGTAGGATTCCTATATCCAATTAACCAGCAAAATTCTGGAAGTAGAGGTTATGGCTCAAGTGGTACAGTACCAGTCTTGTGGAAAAAAACTAAGAGATAAGCTGAGTGCTGGTGATTTATGCCTGTAATACTAGCTACTCAGGAGGGTTGAAATCTAAGGATTAGGGTTTGAAGCCACCCCAGGCATGAAAGTCCATGAGACTCATCTCCAATAAACTATCAAAGAGCTGGAAGTAGAGTTGTGGCTCAAATGGTAGAGCACTAGCCTTAAGCAAAAGAAGCTTAGGGACAGCACACAGGCATTGAGTTCAAGTCCCAGGACCAGCACACATATGTATGCAGGTGCGCGCATATGCGCGCGCGCACACACACACACACACACGCACACGCACACACACACACGCACACACACCAGTGCAAAAATTCATTTCCAATGATAATTAGCAAGGTTAGAAGCACTGGTCCATAAGCTATAAGGAAAGGATGGAAGAACAATGACTGGCATCACCCTTTCTTGCCAATCTGCTTCCCGCCCTAGGTTCAGGTCTCCATCCCCTGAGGTCTCCAAAGGGAAACTCCTCCTCTATGAAACTTGCTCAAGTCCTCATCAATAATCAAGGCTTATGACTTTACCCAGGGATCTCACACTGCTCCTATCATTCTAGAATGCAACCAAAGAGAAATGTGACCATTCCTGGAAAGAGCCAAAGCTCCTTGCTGGCAAGTCAAAAGGGGGGAAAAAAGCCAATAAGTTAGAGAAAGAAACAGATGGAAGGGCTGGGGAGTTGGCTCAGTGGTAGAGTGCTTGCCTTGCATGCCTGAAGCCCTGAGTTTGATTCCTCAGCACCACATGAGCAAAAAGAAAAAAGCTGGAAGTGGTGCTGTGGCTCAAGTGGTAGAGTGCTAGCCTTGAGCTGAAGAGCTGAGGGACAGCACCCAGGCCCAGAGTTCAGGCCCCACAACCGGACCCCCCCCCCCCCCCCCCCCGCAAAAAGAAAAAGAAACAGATGGAAATTTAGAGACAGAAAAAACACATAGAAACAAACAAACAAAAACCAGCCAGCCATAGGGACTCACATCTGTAATCCCAGCTCCTCTTCAGGCTGAGGTGGAAGAATTATCTATTTGAAGGCAACCTGGGCTATGTGGCAAGTTCCATGTGGGCCAAAGCTATATATGAAGCAAATTTGAGGCTAGCCTGGGTAACTTAGACTCTATTTCAAAAAATATATATATTTTTAAAATAGCTAGTGGTATATTCAAGGAGTAACCACCTTTTCCAAAATATAATCTTGGGTCATATTGTACAGAGGAGGCAGGAGTTCTATGTACCCCCGCCCCTCACACATACACACACACAGTCTAGGGTTAGCACAGCACCTGTTGCTTCCAGAAGAAACTGGAGGAGGTACAGAACTGCAGGGAATGTGTAAGATTCAGGTTCCATGTCTAGGTGAGTTCTCTACTGTAAAGAACTCAAAGACAGTCAAAACTGGAGTGGAGAGTTCCTATTTCTCTTGAGTAGAGGCACAAAATAAGACACTGGTTGAACAGCCAAAGATAGGCAAAAGCAAGAGCCTAAAATGTATACTCAGGCAATAAATTTTAATCAAAATGACCATACCACCCAGGCAGCTCCTTGCCTACTCCTATGAGTATGTCAGATGTTGTCAGGAGGTAAGCCAATGGGAAGCTTTAGGTAAAATACTGGCTTTCAGATTTCAGTCAAGGAAATTAGAAGTTAGTTGGTTTTTGTTTGTTTGCTTGCTTAAGGGATTTTTTTTTTTTTTACCATGATCTTGGAAAACTGAGAATCTTTCCTGTAAGAGGTAGGGAAAACTAGTGTGAAAAGACATTTAAATCTATTGCTAAATCTCAGCTCTAACATTCAAGAGAGGAACAGGTTCTGGTGACCATTCAGTTACCAGATTGTGGTAACAATGTGCCTTCTTCTTTTTCTTTCTTTTTGTCAGTTGTGGGCTTGAACTCAGGGCCTGGGTGCTGTCCCTGAGCCTCTTTGTGCTCAAGGCTAGCTCTCTACCACTTGAGCCACAGCAGCATTTGCAGCTTTTTCTGGGTAGTTTATTGGAGCTAAGAGTTTCACGGGGACTTTTCTGCCATGCTGGCTTCAAACCACAGCCCTCAGACCTCAGCCTCCTGAGTAGCTAGGATTACAGGCGTGCACCACTGGCTTCCAGCTTAATTGTGCTTTCTTGCCCATATCCTCACCATCCTGTTTTCTCTGAAGACCCAGTTAGGATCAGTAGGGGGAAAGCTCTGCTATGCTGTTAGCTCTTTGAATCACAACCCATTTCTACTGAAGTCTTGGCCACTCTCTATGACCTCAATTTCTCAGGTTCAATGAGGAGCAAGTCCAAGTGTAAAAACCAGTGGCAAAAGGAGCAGTCATCCTTCCTACTTACTGCCAGCCCTGGGGCACACAGATCCTGTTTCAGCACCATCGCAGCTGGGCTAGGAGTAGAAATTTGCATGCATGTCCTCCTACAGCTGCAGCTAATCAGGCCTCTTATTTCTCACTTGGTCTTGGGGGGGGGGGGATTAAAAAGTTCAGGGTCCTGGCTTAGATAAAATGGAGGGACAGCAATCTAATTTTCTCACTCTTACCCCACCTCACCTCAGCTAGCAACTAAGGCTGAGCAGTTTCTGCCCTGCATTTTATCAGAAGAAACTCCCTACATCCTTAAGCCTAAATTACAGATACCATAGTGCCTCTACTTCTTCACGTTCTGTGAGCCTAATGAGATAGGATGAATTTTTTTTTTAAATTACTCTTTCTTGGCATCCTTCAACTCAACCATGAGAAAGCACGTGTGTGCGTGCAAACACACAGTTTGTGTGCATGTGTAGCCCAAGATCAACCCTGAAAAACTGGATTATACTATCCTCTAGTGGCTAGAGCTAAAAGTGCTCCCCTAAAGGCCTGTGCTACCAAAAAGTCTTTAGGGATTAAGCGACAGCACTTTTTGCAAACGAAAAAGCTAAGGAAGTCCGGGGTGAGAAAGACAGTTGAGAATACAGGCAAGGCTCCCAGGTCACTTCCACTACTTCACCCTGACTTGTCTCTGCTACCTACCTCTTCCCAGGGGAATTCTATCCAAGTTAAGACACCCTGGAGCCAAAAGGACACGTTCCCTCCCGCTTAGAGCAACACCTTCACCTCAATTGCCAAGAAGGTAAACCAGCTCTCAGCTGAGGAACTCGCTTCGCTGGGATTTTCTGAGGTTAACAATGTTTCCGGACTGTTATTGACTGCGCACATCCCCAGTCGCTTGGGTGTAGACAATAATCATACCCATGTGTGATTCCGGGTAGTAATCCACGTCTCCTGTCTCCACGGTAACCGGTGTTTTGCGACCTTCCGTTTACAGCGGTCGTGCTGCCGCCGCTGGTTTGGTTGCTGGGCAACGGCTTGAGGCGGAGCAGGTGCGGTGAAACAGGGCTGCCGCTCTGGAGGGGGAGCTTCCCAGGGAAGGCCTCAGAAGGCAAGGAACCTGGCCTGGCGTTTAGGGGTACGCCTCTGGACGCCATCCCTGCTGCCCTACCCCTCACAGGGCCCATGGCAGTGGCAGTGCCTTCGGGTCGGGCGGGGGGCTCTGGCTGGGCCTGGAGACCAGTGGCGCGGGACGAGCTTCTGGCTCGGGCCTTCCATTCATGCACCGAACTGCGGGGACGGTTCTATCTGGTAGGGGGTCTCCTAGCAGGAGGAGCGAGGGAACCCAGCAGTGATACTGTGATCTTCGACCCCACTGGGGGCCAGGCCGTGAGACTGGAAGCCCCAGGCGGCCCCCCACGCAGTCACCACGATGCAGCACCCGTGGGAGGGCGTTGGCTTTGCGTAGTGGGCGGCTGGGACGGGTCACGCCGCTTGACTACAGTGGCTGCACTGGACACAGAGCGTAGAGAGTGGGAGGCCTGGACAGCCACCTCTGGCAACTGCCCCCCTGCTGGCCTCAGTAGTCACACCTGCACCCTTCTCTCTGATGGAGAACTACGGGTGGCAGGCCGGGAGGGTGGAGTCCGAACTCAACGACGCTATGGAAGTATCTACACGTTAAAGCTGAATCCTGGCGCCCGCACCTATTGGTATGGTACCCCCTTGCCAAAACCGCTCACCTTCCTTTCATCTACCATTTGGAAAAGGCTAAAACTGTTTCCAGGGAGTTATCTGCATCCTTTAGCATGCTTCTTCCCAGAATCCACCATGGTCTAAGAGGTGAACTCTTTTGCCCTCCTGGGGATCTTACCCATTGCCTACTTTTTATCCTCAGCAAGGGAGGTGGGAGAAAGACATTTCCCAGACCTTAACACTCAGGCCTGAATTTCTGCATATCCACAGCTACAAGGAAGAAGGCCATACAGTTTCTCGCTCAGGTCACTGTGCTGCCCTGCTTCAAACTCCTGGGCCCCATCCAGGGCATCAGCTATTACTCTTTGGGGGTTGTAACTCAGCTGAACCAGAAGTAGCTGGTCGATGGAATCATGGGAAGATTAAGGTATTAACTATTCCTAACTCGCTAGTGTGAAAAGGTGTTAAAATTGTGATACTCAAATCCCTTCATGCAATCCTTTCTTTCTCTAAGGAGGAATCACCAGCTGCCCCTCGTCTGACTGAACAGCTTGCAAAACTTGTGAGCAGTGGGCAGGGATCCCGGCAGGGACCCCAGGGATTGCGGCATCACTCATGTTCTGTAGTGGGGCCTTTTGCCGTGCTGTTTGGTGGAGAAAGTCTAACCAAAGCCAGAGACACCATCTGCAATGACCTCTACATCTATGATACCCGTGAGAGCTAGAAAAATGGTTGGGGATTGGGGGAGACAGAACCTAAAGACTACAGAATAGGGGCTAGGAATGTGGCTCAGTGGTAGAGCACTTGCCTTGCATGCATGAGGCCCACAGAAGCAAAAAGAAAAAGGCCGGAAGTGGCACTGTGGTTCAAGAGGTAGAGCGCTAGCCTTGAGCTGAAGAGCTGAGGGACAGCGCCCAGGCCCAGAGTTCAGGCCCCACGACCAGATTCCCCCTCCCCACCAAAAAAAGACTATAGAATAGTGATGGGCAAGGGAGGAGAAAGAATTATTGGACCCAAACTAAGGGAGTACACAGAATATTGAGCATCTGAAGAAGCCCACAAATCAAATGAAAAAATGGGCATTTGGTCATCTGAGTCCCATGGGTGAAAGTATGTCCACCTCAATAACCAGCGTCCACCCCTACCCAACAGGCAAGTCTCCTTCTCTGTGGTTCCACTTTCCCTGTGGAGACCGTGGATTGAAACGGATGGGCCATCGCACCTGCCTTTGGAATGATCAGCTTTACCTGGTTGGGGGTTTTGGTGAGGATGGCAAGACAGCTAGCCCACAGGTTTGCATCCTGGACCTCTTTATCTAAAGAATAGTGTCCAGTCATACTGCCAAACTTCTGTTTTGTTGTAATCCCATAAAACATTATCAGAGCTATCAACCTCACTTCAAATGCTTATTAAATTTCAATCTGAGTGTTAACATTTATCTGAATCTTTTTTGGGGGAGGATAGCAAATAAGTAGACATCTTTATTTGCAAGGGAAAGGACAAAGTATGGATTTTTTTCCCTCTGATATTGTGATCTATAACCTAGTGGAAACAAAACTCACAAATTATGTTCTTTCCCTTAAACAATTTCCACCCCTAAAAGTAGGAGAAAGTTCCAGGCTACAGCTAAGCATTCTGACCAAAACATTTAATTAACAAAAAAATATTACAATAGTAGAGAAAATAATAATAATAACAATAAAGAGAAATGGGAGTCAGGGTAAAAATAAATGCAGAGGCCTAGGCTCCTAGGAGACCAATACTCCAGCAGAACTGGCCTTAGCCCCAGACCCTTCTGAGTTTTCCTTGGCTGCTGGCTTCTCATCTTCTCCCATAAGACGAATGTTGTGCTTTTCCCGGAATTCATTTAGTTCTTTTCCCTTTGCCTGAAGTTGCTGTGACAATGTCTCAATGATCTTCTGTATCTAGAGGGCAACAACAGAAATTAAATGATGATATAGTCCCCCCTCTCTCCCCAAATAACTAGGGCTACCGGATGTGAAAAGAGATGACATTTCTAACCTTACATTAAGAGAAATATTAATAATGGAGCCCAGACACCAATAGGATTCCTTTCTGAGAACAATGGATTATCAACTTCAAGACATGTAAGAATCATGTGTGCTGCTTATATTAAAACTTTACCTCCAAGGCTCTGATTCAGTGGATTCAGGAGATCCAGAAAGTTGCATTTAAAACTAGTTCTTCTCAGTCAGGCACTGGTGGCTCATGCCTATAATCCTATCTACTCAGGAGCCTGAGTATTAAGGATTACAGCTCAAAGCCAGCCTGTGCAATAAAGTCCGTGCGACTCTTACCTACTATTTTTTGTTTTGTTTTTGTCAGTTGTGGGGCTTGAACTCTGGGCCTGGGCACTGTCCCTCAGCTCTTCAGCTCAAGGTGAGCACTCTATCACTTGAGCCAAGCGCCACTCCTGGTTTTCTGGTGGTTTATTGAAGAGTCTCACAGACCTTCCTGCCTGGGCTGGCTTTAACTGTGATCCTCAGCTCTCAGCCTCCTGAGTCGCTAGGTTTGCAGGCATGAGGCACCAGTGCCTGGCTTCTTACCTCCTATTAACCACAAAAGGCCAGAGGTGGAGCTGTGGGTCAAGTGGGAGAGTGCTAACCTTGACCACAAAATCTAAGGAACAGAGTCCAGGCCCAGAGCTCAAGCCCCAGGACTGGAGGAAAACAAACAAAACTAGTTCTTCTCTATAGTCTATACTTTCACATAAATTTGCTGTCTGCTTAAAATAAAAAATCGTAATATAAAATAAAATTTGTTCTTTTTTTTTTTTGGGTCCAGTCGTGGGGCCTGAACTCTGGGCCTGGGGGCTGTCCCTCAGCTCTTCAGCTCAAGGCTAGCGCTCTACCACTTGAGCCACAGCGCCACTTCCAGCTTTTTTCTTTTTGCTTATGTGGTGCTGAGGAATCGAACCCAGGACCTCATGCATGCAAGGCAAGTGCTCTACCACTGAGCCACCTTCCCAGCCCAAAAATAAAATTAGTTCTTGAGATGAGTGTATAGCTTAGTGGGACAGTACTTAGCATGTATAAGATCATGAGTTTGATCTCCAGGTGACATATTATTTGGTGGTGGTACTAGGATTTGAACTCTGCCAAATAGGTGCCCTACAACTTGAGCCACTCTACTAGCATTTTTCTGCATTGGTTATTTTCAAGGTAGGGTCCTGCTTTATGACTGAGATCCTATTATTATTATTTTTTTTTGGTCCGGTTGTCAGGCCTGAACTCTGGGCCTGGGCGCTGTCCCTCAGTTCTTCAGCTCAAGGCTAGTGTTCTACCACTTGAGCCACAGTGCCACTTCCGGCTTTTTTCTTTTTTTTCTGCTTATACGGTGCTAAGGAATCGAACCCAGGGCCTCAAGCATGCAAGGCAAGCGCTCTACCACTGAGCCACTTTCTCTGCCCTGAGATCCTATTTATGTCTCCTTTATCACTAAGATGCCAGGTATATGTAATTGCACCCAAACATTATGCTTATTTATAACTTAGGATGACGGATATCTATCACTAAGCCCCAGCCATTGGTTGAAATGAAGTCTTAAAAGCTATTTTATATTTTTTAATTTGTCCAGCCTGGCCAGAGGTGGAGCTGTGGGTCAAGTGGGAGAGTGCTAACCTTGACCACAAAATCTAAGGAACAGAGTCCAGGCCCAGAGCTCAAGCCCCAGGACTGGAGGAAAACAAACAAAACTAGTTCTTCTCTATAGTCTATACTTTCACATAAATTTGCTGTCTGCTTAAAATAAAAAATCGTAATATAAAATAAAATTTGTTCTTTTTTTTTTTTGGGTCCAGTCGTGGGGCCTGAACTCTGGGCCTGGGGGCTGTCCCTCAGCTCTTCAGCTCAAGGCTAGCGCTCTACCACTTGAGCCACAGCGCCACTTCCAGCTTTTTTCTTTTTGCTTATGTGGTGCTGAGGAATCGAACCCAGGACCTCATGCATGCAAGGCAAGTGCTCTACCACTGAGCCACCTTCCCAGCCCAAAAATAAAATTAGTTCTTGAGATGAGTGTATAGCTTAGTGGGACAGTACTTAGCATGTATAAGATCATGAGTTTGATCTCCAGGTGACATATTATTTGGTGGTGGTACTAGGATTTGAACTCTGCCAAATAGGTGCCCTACAACTTGAGCCACTCTACTAGCATTTTTCTGCATTGGTTATTTTCAAGGTAGGGTCCTGCTTTATGACTGAGATCCTATTATTATTATTTTTTTTTGGTCCGGTTGTCAGGCCTGAACTCTGGGCCTGGGCGCTGTCCCTCAGTTCTTCAGCTCAAGGCTAGTGTTCTACCACTTGAGCCACAGTGCCACTTCCGGCTTTTTTCTTTTTTTTCTGCTTATACGGTGCTAAGGAATCGAACCCAGGGCCTCAAGCATGCAAGGCAAGCGCTCTACCACTGAGCCACTTTCTCTGCCCTGAGATCCTATTTATGTCTCCTTTATCACTAAGATGCCAGGTATATGTAATTGCACCCAAACATTATGCTTATTTATAACTTAGGATGACGGATATCTATCACTAAGCCCCAGCCATTGGTTGAAATGAAGTCTTAAAAGCTATTTTATATTTTTTAATTTGTCCAGCCTGGCCTCAAACCACAATCCCCTGTTCTTCACCTCCCAAGCCTCATCCTAGATAACCATCTGGCTGTTCAGGTGATTTTTTTTTTTGGTTGGTCCTGGGGCTTGAATTCTGGGCCCAGGTGCTATCCCTGAGCTCTTCAGCTCAAGGCAAGCACTCTTATCACTTCAGCCACAGTGCCACTTCCAGTTTTCTGGTGGTTAGTCAGAGATAAGAATCTCACAGAGGGGCTGGGAAGGTGGCTCAGTGGTAGGGTGCTTGCCTTGAATGCATGAGGCCCTGGGTTCCATTCCTCAGCACCCCATAAGCAGAAAAAGCCAGAAGTGGTGCTGCGGCTCAAGTGGTAGAGCACTAGCCTTGAGCTGAAGAGCTCAGGGATAGCACCTGGGCTCAGAATTCAAGCCCCAGGACCGACCAAAAAAAAAAAAAAAGTATCATGGACTTCCTGCCCAGGCTAGCTTTGAACCATGATCCTCAGATCTCAGCCCCCAAAGTAGCTAGGATTATAGGTGTGAACCACCAGCACCCAGCTTTACTCAGGTGATGTGTGTGTGTGCTTACTTTCACATTACCACTTAAGCCATGCCTCCAGCAGGATTTCTTGCTGATCATTTTGGAGATGGGAGTCATATAGACTTTTCTGCAGAGCAGCTAACATTACAGGCATGAGCCATCAATGTCGGACTATTTCAAGTGATTTTGATGTAGGTATCAATGGGCTATACTGTGAGAAAAGACTGCTCTAACCCCCACCAAATCAACCACATCAAAGAGTCCATGGAAGGACATATACCCAACAATTCCTTGTCCAAGGAACTGGATTTGGCACAGTGTAAAGGGTTTAGATTAACTGGCTATTTATGTTATCTTTTTCTTTTTTTTTGGGGGGGGGGGGGGGTCAGTCATGGGGCTTGAACTCTGGGCCTAGGTGCTATCCCTCAGCTCTTCAGCTCAAGGCTAGCACTCTACCTCTTGAAACACAGTGCCACTTTCAGCTTTTTCTGCTTATGTGGTGCTGAGGAATTAAACCCAGGGCCTCATGCATGCGAGGCAAGCACTCTACCACTAACCCAAATTCCCAGCCCCTTTATATTATTTTTTGACACAAGTTTCTACACAGATCTTCTTCTGTCATATTTCTTAAATTCCTGCCCACCACTTCTTCCTTATCAGGGAATCTTGCTCACCTGTTCCTTGTTATTCTCCAAGGCAGGCAGCACCTCTTTGACAGTCCGCTCTACCAGCACACCTCCAACCATACGGAAGCACTTTCGAGTTTCATCGACTTCTTTCAGTGTATCAATCACCAGGCTGGTACAGGAGGACAAAGCAGGACCTCAGAATTCAGTTTTACTCTACTGTAACCCTCCCTCACAAAATGGCCCATGCAACTCTTCTATTGTTTTTCTCTGATTTTCTCACCTGTGCTCATTCAGCTCCATCTCTAGTTCAGCTGCTTTGGAAGCCAGGCCCCGTTGCTCTTGCCGAAGGCGATTGAAGCCAGCAATTACCTAAGATATGAGCAATGAGAAAGTGGAAATAACAGAGTAATTACAACACATGGGAGGCAGGTTTTACAAAGATGCATTAGGGAATGAATACTTACCTTGGAAAGGGAGAGCACAACTTTGTAATTTCTTATTTTGGTCTGTATGGAATCCCATTCTATAGTAAGCATATGCTGAATGCCTATTATATGTGAATATTTGCCAGGCACTAGAGGTATACAACAGAATAGATTCTGGCTTTGTATAGATTATATTTTTGATAAAGAAGGGCTGGGAATGTGGTTTAGTGTATAGCACTTTTCTAGCATGCACAACTCTCTACGTTAAATCCCTAGCACTACAAACAAACAAACTAACCAACCAACCAACCAAGACTGGGTTAGAGAGCCATTGAAGTACCTACAGGGAAGCCTAAGCTTGTAGATTT